AGCTTATTTCAGTAAATACCAAGAAAATATCAAAACAGCATCTTTAGTCATAAGAAAACCAAAGAAAGAATTGGTTTTATATATGAGACTAAATAGCAGAAATAATTTGTCTGATTAATTTGGAGAGTTGAGTTGCTTCCTGCATTCCACACACCCCAAGTGAAGGCATCATAGAGGTGTACAGCTGCCATCAATGTGTGCGTGGACAATCCCTCATTATACAACCCCACACATGGAGACAGAATTAAATTCCTTGGTTCCTGTTATCCCCAGGGCCAAAATTATTATATTTGTTTTTGTTGTTGACATGATGGTTTTTGAGTTAGGGGGGAATGCAGTTGCATGGTCATGGCTCAACACAGCCTCGACCTCCTGGGCTCAAGCAAACCCCTCTGCCTCAGCTTCCCGAGTAAATGGGTCTATAGATGCCAGCACACCTGACTTATTTTTAAAATATTTTTGTAGAGACAGGGTTTTGCTATGTTGCCCAGGCTGGTCTTGAACTCCAGGACTCAATCAATCTTCATGCCTCGGTCTCGCACAGTACTGGGATTACAGGCGTGAGCCACCACACCCAGCCTATATTTTTAAAAAAACTGAATCTTACAGTAGTCTACATTTTTTTCATGTGGCCATGTGGTGTTAGCACACAAAGAATTCATGCTTGCCTGTGCAAGTCAACTGGGAATATTTAAGCATGAACTCTCCTTTGTTCTGTAAGAGCCAGGGGAACATCAGGGAGAAGAAAAGGTCAGTAGCAAAAAAAGTAGCCTTAGAGAAGAGCCCTCGGGATTCAAGGAACACAAAAAACTGGAACTGAAAACAATCATACTTGATTCTTCCTTTGGTGAAAATCAAAGGACTTAACTTTCTGACTTCCTGTGTCCAGTAGTCTTCTGGGAAATGGTTAGCAGTAGGAGATGGGCGAATCACGATGTTCTTACCAACTCTTCACCTCTTCCCTCAACAAGTGGTTTGGCCTTTGGCTTCACAGCTTAGAAATGCCAGCGTGTTGTGTCCCTATTCTGAAAGTAGAAAATTATTCGTGTTTCTAAGAACGCTTGTCACTGGCCTTTTCTTTCCTGTCAACTTAAACAAGTTAGTCCTATTCTAAAAATTCTTTTTTTTTTAATTTTTATTTTAAAAATATAGGATCCAATTCAGGATTAGGTATACAATTGGTCATTGTACAGGTAAAGTTTGGACCTCACTTTGGTCCCCACTTCACCTAGTTTGAGATCAAGTACCCTTGTTGATGAAGTGTACCCCCCGGCAGTTTCTCACTACTAAGTCCTTTTTTGTAGTATGATAATTGTTCAGGGTTTGCTTATGAGTGAGAACATGTAGTACTCAGTTCTTTGTTTCTGTGATAGATCATTGAGCATTACAGACTCTAAATCCATCCAAGTTGCTGCAAAGTTCATGATTTTGTCCTTCTTTATGACCGTGAAATATTCCATTGTGTATATGTACATTTTTTTGATCCAGTTCACTTTCGATGGGCAGCGTGGGTGGTTTCATCTTTTTGCTCATTATGTTTATCCATGTTTTCCATTGCTGATCAGGTTTGAAAATACATATACTGTATCCCACTAGGAAGATAAGAGACTCGCTATAAAATTAAGAACTTAGCGCTCACTTTCTGTCACATCTCAGCATGTGCTTATGAAAGGAACGAAGAGATTATGGGAGAGAGGAAAGAGAAAGTGCCACACAGACCTTCAGGAGAAGGCACAGAAATTTCCATGCCTTTTTGTGGGGTGTTGAATGCAGGTGAACATACAGCAGATCATCACACTTGAGGTTCAGGCTAGAAAATTTTCAGCACATTTTAAGACGTGAGGTAGGTCAGGTTCACCTGAAGCCACCTTAGACCAACTCTTTAATAATAATTGGAAAATTGGATAGTTCTGTCCTAAGGGAAATAAGATACAGTCGCCTGGGTTTGCCATGCAAACCACTGCTTAGGTAAAAGAATGAATTTGAAAGCGTTAAAAATATGAACATTAAATATGAGGGAGGACTACAAAAAAACATAATTTATTTTTTAAATTGTGTACGTATTCTTACATGCTTAAACTTCAGTCATCTTCAAAGTACTCTCCATAAGATTTAATGCACCTATTATGATACACTTTCCACTGCTCAAAACAGTTTTTGAACTTGTCTGTTTTGATGCCTTCTAGTGCTTCTGCCATTTCGTGTTTCACCTTTTACACATCAGCAAAACATTTTCCTTTGAGGACTTTTTTTCATCTAGGGAAACAAAAAAAAAAAAGCCACCTGGTTCAAGATCCAGTGAATAGGGAGGGTGGGACACAAGGTTCATACCATTTATGATTTAAAAATTGCTGAACACTCAGTGCAGTATGGGCAGTTGTGCTCGTAAATCATCCATCATGAAATGGACAAATGCATTGAAAGAATCCCCCAAAACTTTTCACTGAAGCCAAATGCAGCCTCTCACAACAACTCTGCCTGTTACACTGATGCAGATGGGTTCCTAGAACACTTACCTAGCAAGGGAAGCCTGTACTACAAGGCGCCTGTCCTGCAAAAAATAATCCCTAGTTTTTGAGGGTTCTCCCTCATAGGAATTGTATTTCAATGGGAAGTACACAGTGTAATTGTTTTTTATTCTTCTCAATGCTGGACAGAGGCTTTTTCCAAACACATCTCCAGCATTTCTTACACTTATCACATTTTACAGGATGCTTTCATGTGCATGATCCAGTTTGATCCTTAACAACTTCTGAGGAAGGTGAGGCAAATATGAGGCATTTTGTTTTGCAGATGACCATGCAGTCGCCAGAAGTAGAGTCCTAAGTTTGAATCCCTTGCCTTGTATTTTTTTTTCCACCGCAAAACATCCATTATCTTAAAAGGATTAAAATCAACATGCTGGTTCAATTGAGGCAGGTCTCCAGTGGCCTTACTTCCTCCCACAAACAGAAATAAATGTAACAAGCATTTGGTACCTATGAATGTGAATGTTGGGAGCCCTGTTTTCAACTCCATGTGATCCTGTGAATGTCCGTGTCTAGGGGAAGAATTAAAGGAATCATTCAAGTGATTCAAAGGGGAGGGGAGGAGTTGTATCCAGAAAGAATGCCTATTCCCAGTAACTAAATGCTTAGAATATATACAGTGCAATATTTTTCAAAGTCTTCCCTTTTGAATTTTTTATTTGTCATGCAACAAAATTCTATTTAGCCATTCAACCAAAATAACAGGATCAATTGTGACTTCTCATTTTGATTTACAGACATGACAGGAATTAGCAAAATGTTTAGCTCAGACAGAGAATCACCAAATGTTAGGAGTGAAAGGAACCTTGGAGATGACCTAATCCAAATCCCCAAGAGAGTTTGGTCAACATCACGCAGATGATTGCTTGGAATCTCTATCCCTTTGCCATGTACACACATAGGTCTGTTTGCTAGAGCTGGGAGAAACACTTCCTCCCCACAATTCTGGAAGCAGGTTGATGGAGGTGACAGGGACTAAGAACCTGAGTCAGTGAGGTTCTAACTTGTGCATGGTTATGATATGAAGCAATACCTAAATGCCATGAGTTTGCTGTATCAAAATACGTTTTGGTTGTTTTCATTTTTGTTTTCATTTGAGTTGGAGTCTTGTTCTGTCACCCAGGATAGAATGCGGTAAAATCACAGCTCATCACAGCCTCAACCTCCTGGGCTCAGGTGATCGTGTGCCTGGCTAATTTTTTTATTTTCTGTAGAGACAAGGTCTTGCTATTTGCCCAGGCTGGACTTGAATTCCAGGCTCAAACAATCCTCTCACCTCAGCCTTCCAAACTGCTGAAATTATAGACCTGAGCCACTGTACCCAGTCAGATGGCTGTATTGAACTAAATAGTCATATTTGGAAGTGCATCCTGAAGTTTAAACCAAAATTTCACATTTATTATATTTATTGTATTTTTAAAAACCTAACTAGCCGGGCTCGGTGGCTCCGCCTGTAATCCCTCGCTTGGGGAGGCTGAGGCGAATGGATTGCCTGAGCCCGCGGGTTTGAGACTCACCTAGGCAACTTGGCGAGACCTCATCTCTACAATAAATCAAAAATCAGCTGGGCGTGGTAGCGCGTGCCTGTAGTTCCAGCTACTTGGAAGGTTGAGGCGGAAGGATCACCAGAGCCCAGCAGGTCGAGGCTGCGGTAGCCAGGAGCGACCACTGCACTCCAGTCTGGGCAACAGAGTGAGACTCCAACTCAAAAAAAAAGAAAAACCTAACTATACAATATGACAGTAAACTTACATTTGGCATATCGTACCACACTTCACTTTTGGTATATATTAACTATTTTGTCTAAATGGCCGTCTTTCTGGGAAAATGCCAAGCTTCACAAGATATTCAAAATAAGTCAATCCTCTAAATTAAGAGCAAATGGGTTTTAACAAATTAAATTTGAACGTGAGGCAGAAAAGAAAGCACTGCAATACCTATGGTCTCTTTAACAGGAGCGGTTGCCAAGGGCTCGAGTGATTGAGTTTTTTCTTTAGTAACTATTTTTGTTTAAGAATGTGCTCTATGGGGACCAAAGGGAGGCCCAAACTTTACCTGTACAATGACCACTTATCCACCTAATCCTGAATTGTACCCTACACCTTTAAAATTAAAAAGTTTTAAAAATGCAGAACATAAAAATGAATGGGCTCCAAGTCATATTTTACATATGCTCATTTTCCAAGTGTTAAAAGCAACCATGTTTGTTGAGTTGTGATCAACTAGTCAATAGACCGCGTTCATACTGTGCCATGCTTTGTTGTTTCCCAGAATTAGCCGCAGAAGTAAAATGATCTGCAGTCTAGCCCTGATTGTATAGTCAAAGAAAAACTAAGGGCCCACCTTGGACCTTGCACTTTATTCTTTGTCCAAAAAGCTGGAAGATGATAGATTGGATTTATTTGCATTTCTACTTTCCTCCTTTTTTCTTTGAAGAGATAAACATCAGTTAAATGCATTCAAAATGAACGGATGAACCGATCAGATGTGGAAAATCTAGAGTGTGGATTATCAGTACAAGAAGCAAGAATCCCAACACTTAAAATACTCAAACATGTATTAGCAACAATGTGACCTCCTAAAAAATATACAGCAGGACTTTGTCCCTTATGGTAAGAGCATAAGAATGAGTAGAATCTGACCGATGCTTCTTCAATTGGAATAATGTAGTTGTTACCCTGCCATTAGCCTCTGAAGGTAGAGATTCAAGGTGAGCAACTTGCCTTTTATAAATCATCTGAATCTATTTTCCATGGATTGATATAAACCTTCTTGGGGGAGCTTCTAACTTTAGCCTTCACAGTCTCTTAGAGGAGATGAAGAGAACCATTTTTATATTGTGATTCATTGATCCACATTTTTAAAGAAAATTCTGAAGTATACTCAAGTAAAAGGTACTTAACCCAGTTCTAAGAAAAAATAATACAAAACACGAATAATAAAACACTGTTCTTTAAGTTAAAGATCTATAAATCCTTATTTATTCTCTGCAACACATTCTGAAAGACGTTATACTGTGGTTTCACTTTATAGCAATGTAAGAAGGAAAGGTGGAAACTGGAAGAAGAGGAAGAAAAAACAATGAAATGAAGGAGGCATACAAGGAGAAAGGAGGAAGTGAAAAGGGAATAACCCAGAAGTAGGGAAACTTGGAGGGATAAAGAGAGGGAAATGCAGGGAAAAAGAAGTCAAAATCCTGATCTGAGCTCATTGTTTTTATAGTCTAATGTGTGCTGTGCTGTGTGATCCCATGATGCTTCATCACTGTCCTTTGAAATGTTGACTAGATGCTCAATCTCTAAGTTAAACGGTCACTCTCAGAAAATTTTTCTCAGAGCCACATATAATAACTAAGACGAGTGAAACAAAGAACTGAGTACTACATGTTCTCACTCATAAGCAGACGTTGAACATTTATCATAATATTATAAGAAAGGGATTAACAGTAGCAAGACACTGCCCAGGGAGGGGGGGACACATAGCCTCAATAAGGGTACCCAATTTCAACCCAGGTGAACCTGGGACCAATGGGAAGCCTAAACTTTACCTGCATGATAACCACTTATATACCTAACCCTGAATTGCACCTCACATCTTTAAAAAAAATTTTTTTTTAATTACAAAAGCAAAAAACTATGAAGGGAAAAAAAAAATGTTGACTAGATGCTCAGTCTTTAAATGAAACAGTCACCGAGAGAATATTTTTCTCAGAGTCATCTATAATAACTAACACGGGTGATACTCCCCAAAGTCAAATGATCACCAAGTCAGACCTAAGATAGCTAAGAGAGATTTCCTGCTTCATCAAGAACTGTGTGTCCCATAGCAAAAACATGGAACCAACCATCCTGCCCATCGAAGCTGGACTGGATAAAAAAATGTGGTACATAGACACAATGGAATATTACGCAGCCATAAAGAAGGACAAACATATGGATTTTGCAGCAACTGGGATGGATTTAGAGTCGGTCATACTCAGTGATCTATCACAGAAACAAAGAACAGAGTACCATATGTCCTCACTCATAAGCGGACCTTGAAACAATTATAATACTATAAGAAAGGGATTGGCAGTAGTGGGAAACTGTCAGGGGAGGAGAGGTGAGATTGGCAGTTGAGGGAAACTGCTAGGGGAGGGAGGGACACACCTCATCCACAAGGTTACCTGCATAATCAACGTTTGTATACCTAACCCTGAATTGTACCCCACATTTTTCAAATGAAAAAAAAAAGACAAAAACATTGGGTGTTCCAAATGCACAGTCTTGACTCAACAAAGAAGTGCTTCCTTGCATTACTTTCAAATCTTAATCTCCCCGTTTTACCCCATAAATCTAGAACACTGAGTTTTGGTGAGAAAATCCTTCCTTGGGCTATTTTTTGTGGTTTTACAGATATCCTGCATACCTCTTCTTGGCCTTTGTCCTTTGCACAAAATTCTGGGTCATTTCATGAATTTAGCAGTCTGTGTGCCATGTAATCTTTTTTTTTGAGTTGTAGCCTCACTCTGTCACCCAGACTGGAGTGCAGTGGCCACTCCCAGCCATCACGGCCTCGACCTGCTGGACTCCAGCGATCCTTCAGACTCAGCCTCCAAGTAGCTGGAACTACAGGCGCACGCTACCACGCCCGGCTAATTTTTTGATTTATTGTAGAGATGAGGTCTCGCTAAGTTGCCCAGGTGGGTCTCGAACCCGCGGGCTCAGGCAATCCACACACCTCAGCCTCCCAAAGCGCTGATTACAGGCTGAGCCACTGAGCCCGGCTGCCATGTAATCTTTATAGCAAGTATGAAATAGCTATGATTGTTGCTTTTATTTGACAGATTTGTACATTGAGACTCAGAGAGGTTAAATAACTTGCCCAAGGTCACACAGTAAGCAATAAAGCAAGGGTCAGAACCCAGTCTGTTTGACTCCAAAACGCAGTCACTGAATCCCCTCTTCTTGCTTCTTTCCGAGCTCTTCCACATTTCCTCCACATCATGCTCTATTTCCTCTGCCTAAGAATGTCTGCTCTGCACTGAGATCATCATGGACGTTCTTCAAGCTCTTTTTTACAAAACCTTCTTGGACTGAATGAGTTAGTCCATAGTCTTCCTCTTCCATATGATGCTGGCCAGAAGTCCACACATCTTAGAACAAAGATTATCCTGACTTGGTTCTGCTGTCAGCCTTACCACATAAATAGTATTTGTTCTCAGGAGAAGCGTTATTGTCCTGAGTGCCATATTCTCTCTCCATGTGTAGGTTCTGCATTTGCATGTTTAATTGTAGAATGAAATGTCTAGAGATCATGAATTCTGTCTAGTTTATGTAGCGTGTTGTACAATTCACTTAAGGAAATACAAACCAGGTGATTAAGAGAGAAAAATTATAGACAACTAAGACAAGAGATAATTACCCCCCACAAAATCTCTTCCAGGCATATGGGGCCCTCATCCAAATGGTGGTCACCCATACAATTGTAACCAACAGCAATGGGCAATGGGCTGGGATGGGGGAGTCCAAATTGCTTAGGTTGTAAAATTACCTTCTTATAACTTTCTTGGAATAACTTGAAGTATTCCATATCATTTAAGAATCACCGATCATATACCTCCTACCTGCCTAAGCAACTGAGAGGATTTGCTGACTTGCACTTTCTTCTCTTTTTCAGATCTTGGCCATCGTGTCTATCCTGTTCATTGTACTTTCCACCATTGCTCTGTCTCTCAACACACTGCCGGAGCTGCAGGAAACAGACGAATTTGGACAACCCAACGACAACCGCCAATTAGCGCATGTGGAGGCTGTGTGCATTGCTTGGTTTACCATGGAGTACCTTTTGCGCTTTCTGTCGTCACCAAATAAATGGAAGTTCTTTAAAGGCCCATTAAACGTCATTGATTTGCTGGCCATCTTGCCATACTATGTCACCATTTTTCTCACGGAGTCCAACAAGAGTGTGCTGCAGTTCCAAAACGTGAGGCGTGTGGTCCAGATCTTTCGAATCATGCGCATCCTCCGGATTCTCAAACTCGCCAGGCATTCCACAGGTCTACAGTCTCTGGGCTTCACCCTGAGGCGGAGTTACAACGAATTGGGCTTGTTGATACTGTTTTTGGCCATGGGGATAATGATATTTTCCAGCCTGGTATTTTTTGCTGAGAAGGATGAGGATGCTACCAAGTTCACCAGTATCCCTGCATCATTTTGGTGGGCCACCATCACCATGACCACTGTTGGCTATGGTGACATTTACCCTAAAACGTTACTAGGGAAAATTGTGGGAGGTCTGTGCTGTATTGCTGGAGTTCTGGTTATTGCCCTTCCTATCCCAATCATTGTGAACAATTTCTCTGAGTTCTACAAGGAGCAGAAACGCCAGGAGAAGGCAATTAAGAGGAGAGAGGCTCTTGAGAGGGCCAAGAGGAATGGAAGTATTGTTTCAATGAACTTAAAAGACGCCTTTGCTCGAAGTATGGAACTGATAGACGTGGCTGTCGAGAAGGCAGGAGAGTCAGCCAATACAAAGGACTCAGCTGATGATAATCACCTGTCCCCAAGCCGGTGGAAGTGGGCCAGGAAGGCTCTGTCGGAAACAAGCTCCAACAAGTCCTACGAGAATAAGTACCAGGAGGTTAGCCAGAAAGACTCCCACGAGCAGCTGAACAACACGTCTTCCTCCAGCCCACAGCATCTGAGTGCCCAGAAACTCGAGATGCTGTACAATGAAATCACCAAAACACAGCCTCATTCTCACCCCAACCCAGACTGCCAGGAAAAGCCAGAGAGGCCATCGGCATATGAAGAAGAGATTGAAATGGAAGAAGTGGTGTGCCCTCAGGAGCAGCTGGCCGTGGCCCAGACCGAGGTCATCGTGGACATGAAGAGCACCTCCAGTATCGACAGCTTCACCAGCTGCGCCACCGACTTCACAGAGACCGAGAGATCACCCCTGCCGCCGCCCTCTGCATCTCACTTGCAGATGAAGTTCCCACCCGACCTCCCAGGGACAGAAGAACACCAAAGAGCCAAGGGGCCCCCATTTCTAACACTGTCCAGAGAGAAAGGGCCTGCTGTCAGGGATGGCACCCTGCAGTATGCCCCAGTCGACATAACTATGAACCTGGATGCTGGTGCCTCCAAGTGTGGGCCGCACAGTCCTTTGCAGTCTGAAAGTGCCGCCGACAGTCCTAAGAGCTCTCTAAAAGGCAGCAACCCACTAAAGTCCAGATCCCTCAAAGTGAACTTTAAGGAAAACAGAGGCAGTGCACCACAGACCCCGCCCAGCACAGCCAGGCCACTGCCAGTAACGACAGCTGACTTTTCTCTTACCGCCGCACAGCACATCAGTACCATACTCTTAGAAGAAACACCCTCCCAGGGAGACAGACCCTTGCTGGGCGCTGAGGTTTCAGCACATTGTCAGGGACCTTCCAAAGGGCTGTCCCCCAGGTTCCCCAAGCAGAAACTGTTTCCTTTCTCTTCAAGAGAGAGGAGGAGCTTCACTGAAATAGATACTGGTGAAGATGAAGACTTCTTAGAGCTCCCCGGGGTGAGGCAGGACAAGCAGACAGACTCCAGCCCAAACTGCTTTGCAGATACACCTAGTGATGGAAGAGACCCTCTAAGAGAAGAGGGCTGTGTGAGCTCTTCCTCTCCCCAGGACACAGATTACAACTGTAGGCAAGACGTTTACCATGCTGTGAGTGAAGTAAAAAAGGACAGTAGTCAAGAAGGGTGCAAGATGGAAAACCACTTGTTTGCCCCAGAAATTCATTCCAACCCAGGAGACACGGGTTATTGTCCCACACGTGAAACCAGCATGTGACTAGTTACAAAAGCAATAAAAAAAAAACTTGTTTCTTAAAAATGAGGTTAATAATGCCTGTGAACTAAAACATGGGAAGTCCCCCCTCAAAAAAAAGTGCATAAAGTGTTATTTTTGCATGGCATGAACAGTTTAGTTTAAGTACTGTTTAAATAACGAGTCAAGACTGCATTTTGTAACAAACCAACAAAATGACTGAAGAACAGTGAACAAATAAAAAGAGCTCTATTAGGAACCGGTATTCTGCAATGTCTGACATTTTTGATCCTTTCATTTCCAACTGTAGGCAGATTTTCAAGTTTTAACTTTTATGTTACAGTGAATTTTAGAATTTTCACATGAAAGGATGAAATGTCATTGCATGTGTTCTTAATTATGAGGAATAAGGTACTTTGAGCTTGCAAAATGCATAACTTTGTAAATAATGGGGCCTGGATGCAAAAGCGTCACGAACACACGGAAACAAGTTTCTGAGACACAGGTATTTCCTTCACAGCTACTGCCTGGAGGAACTGTACAGACTTCTTTTTGCAAAATTGCAACCTCTTCTTAAACCATCTTGCATATCTTGCTTTGAGTTATAAAGCTCTTATAAGTACATTTGTTTAAAGGAATACAGTATTTTTACTTACTTGTGATATAATTCATAGGGTGCATTTTTCTTTTTTGCTTCTGCTTAGTTGTGGTATTTGTGATTTCGTTCATAAATCATAGAAATAGGCACGATTTAATGACCAGATAACAAAATATTTGAAAGTTAAGTTGGAAATTTTGCCAGTGAAATTTTGCCACAGGCTATTACAGAAATGCATTTTTTAAAACTTGAAATTACTTAAAAGGATGTATCATACAACTAAGCTTTTTTTTAATGGCACTTCACATTTGGAAATTAGTTCTTTTTCTTAAAAAAATGCATTTGACCACCTAAAGATGACCATATTTTCCACTAATATTCAACATAAACTTTTATAACTAAAGACCTAACAGAACGCAGATATGTCAAAATAAGAATTTCAAAATGTGTCTTTTGACAAACAAAAAGCAGAAATATTTAAGTGAGACTACCACCACCACCACCCCCTGCACCCCCCACAGATAGAGTTGGAAAGCCCTGGCCTGGTAATGAGTCACCCAGTGGGTGGGGGGGTGAAGGGTGATGCTGCCATTTATGGAAGGAAGTTGTTTATTTTGCAAGATTTGAATTACAGAACCCAGAACCCAGATGTCAGTGGCACCCTCCAGACTGCAGCAATTAGACCCATCCTCTTTCATTTCCAACCTCCCCAGGGAGTGGTCAGGACTATCCTTGTTAATAATCACTTCCAGCATTTTGTACTGGGAACAATGAAAGTCAGAGGAGTTAAGGCACTTGCTGGGAGTTTTTCTATTGCTGAAGTCTGCTAGAACCCAGGTCATTTGAATCCATTTTGCTTCACAAGAATCAAGGCTCTGGCCCCAGATTTGCAGCTACCAGATGGGTGATCCTGGGTGAGCCTGTATAACCTCTCTTGATCTCATCTTTGCCCCAGTTAAAAAAAAATGAAAAAAAAATGATTTGCAGGCTCCTTTAAGACTTCAAATTAATATGATTCATTGGTCTCCCAGGAATGCCCAAGTTTTGTCTCAGCATAATGCACGTTGTGTGTGTGTGTGTGTGTGTGTGTGTGTGAGAGAGAGAGAGAGAGAGAGAGAGAGATTCAGGGAAATAGTCAGAAAAATGCTGGCCCAAATTTGAAGCACAATTTATTGTTAAAGAAAAATTCTAAATGTTGTTCTTTTTTTTTTTTTGAGTTGGAGTCTCACTCTGTCACCCAGACTGGAGTGTAGTGGCTGCTCCTGGCCATGGCAGCCTCGACCTGCTGGGCTCCGGCGATCCTTCCACCTCAGCCTTCCAAGGAGCTGGAACTACAGGCGCGCACTACCACACCCGGCTAATTTTTTATTTATTGTAGAGATGAGGTCTCGCCAAGTTGCCCAGGCGAGTCTCAAACCCGCGGGCTCAGGCAATCCACTCACCTCAGCCTCCCAAAGGCGCAGGATTACAGACTGAGCCACTGAGCCCGGCTGTGTTGTTCTATTTTTAAAAGAAAAAAACCATTGGAAAGAAAATAGCCCAAATATTTAGAATCTAACTTAAGACTTTAAAAAATAACATTTCTTTATTAACAGAATCTGGTCATTATATCTCAAATTAAAAAAAACAAGTTTTGATCTTAGTTGAAATCCAAGCAGTCCTACTGCTAAAAATAATTTTCAACATTTTTTTTCACTGTGCTTAGAATTACCTATGGTTTTCATGTTCATTTTGAAACATAACTTTTAAGAGTTTGTGGTCATTAATTGTTGATATTTGCATTAATACTATTTATTTCATTGTCTGAAACTAAATATTAATCAGCTTTTGTAAATCTAGAGTGTTTGAATTTTCTATATATAGTTTTTCAAAGTCAAGCAGATAGTATATATGCTATTAGATGAATAGCAAATAACTTATGAAAATCATTTTCTTTACATAGCCTCATGAAGCAATTATTTTCTAATGTCTCTTATGGATGAATCTCAACTTTTTTTATTCACCTGTCTGCATAAGTGGACTTGTCTTATTACCCTGAGAGTTGACTAATGCCCATCTTTCACATGTCGATTAGGCCTTCTACTGAGAACATTGTCAAGGAATCCTAGCCATTCTTCCCTAGAAGCATCCTCCCTAAAAACCGTTATTCCTTCATCCTAAGTTATTTTTTTTTAAGTTTTAAAGAGCATCCAGGGAAAGCTTATCCTTCCATTCTTCCTAGTTCCTCTGAGCCAAAAGTCTTCAGCTGGGAAAAAAAGAGAAAGCTTCTCTAAAAAATCTTTAACTTTGATGTTTCACAGGGAGGTAACCTGGGGACTGAAGGCTCCCAGGATGCACTTGTACAGCACTTCATAAATCTTTTCAATGAACTGCATCTAGCACAGAGAATAAACATGAGTGCCTGGAATGATCTGAGAATGTACCAAGCACAGAGTTCTTTTAAGGTCTTATGTTTTACATTAAAAATTCATGTAAATGCTGCATTTTGCTCCATACTATATGTTTAAAAATATTTTTTAAAATAATGTTTTATATTACTTACCAACTGGTAATATTAATACTCTTATGTCCTTAAATACATCTTTTGTAACCCCTGGAAAATATACCCCCCAGTTTGAAATGCACTACATTAACGGCAGGAACATAGATTGGGTCCCTGAGGGTCAGTGGTAGTTTCTACTGCTGAGAGAGTTCACTCATTGTTACCTAGCTCAGTGGCCAGGGACAAATGTCAATGAGTAAAGACTACTTGATTGACCACAAAATAACACAGTTCTAGGTATGGCTGATGTGATTCTTCAGAGTCTCTTGACGACCATTGCAAATTATAACAGTATTTTTTAAGCTTAAAAATTGAGACCAGTAATAAGAGGCTAAAAATGGTTGCGAGATATGTCCTGAGTTGGACAACACGTACAAGGGTAACATATGAAGTGGGTTTCTGGTTGACTTAGTCTCCAAACATCTTTCGTAGAAATTTCTGCACCTTAGTACCACCAGCTGCTTTGAAACAAATATTTAATCAAGCATTGTCCTGATATGACTAGGTTTGGTAACAAAGAGAACAAGTGCCAAGTGTCTGTTCCTGTCCACTTCTTGTCAAAACAGTGGGCTGAGGAAAGTCAACCATTCGATGATTTTCTCTTGAAATGTAAATTGTGGGAAAACAAGCCATATGTATGTAGAGTATTTTATAATTTCTTATCTCACAACTGTCTTTTGAATGATCAATAAAGAACCAGAGAGGTTATGTATTTTGCCCAAGTTCACAGGTCGCTGGTGAATAGTTGAACCTGGCCTCATCCACATCATCTGGCTTCAAGTCTGGCATTCCGGTATTCCACAGGAAAGTATATTTACTTAAGATTTTCTTTTTTTAAATCAATATCTGAACTATGTAAATAAAACTGGAGGTGCATTTATAGTCACACAGTTTATTTAAAGCAGCAGAAGATCATACCAAATGGTGAAGATTGGAGATAATTGGCATTGACCATTTTTGGCATATGTTTGCCAATTCAGAATTCTGATGTTAAGATATACATCCCTTGGTTAAATAAAAGAATTCATTGCTCAAGATGTAGCGTGACATACACATTAGGCAGAGAGCTGCAGGAAGCCATTTATTCTTCTAAAACAAAAGCAAATCAAACTTTTGAAATATTTCTAAGTTTAAAAAATATTGAATTTGATCATCTCATTGAATTTGATCATCATTTCACTGTTCTCTCATTTAGCAACTGCAAGTTGAACATTTCAACATTCTATATCAGGCTTTGTAACTTAGTGGTAGTATACAATGCTTGGCCTTATAGATCTTACTGCCTGGCCCAATTAAAACCAAGCTGAGGATGATTTGGTTTACAGAAAAATGTCTCTTTGAAGATTAAAAAAGCATCATTTAATTAGCAAACCAGGGAAGCATGTGACAGGAACAAATGAAATCATTTTCCAAAGCGCCGTTTTCCTCAAAAATAGATGGATGGTATAAAGCCTAATATATAATTATTTTTTAATCATAGTTTAGATTTCATGCTTGAAATAACAAAGTCTTAATCTGATTGAGGGAGGTTATGGTTTGTCTTTCCTTATTATCTGATAAAATGAGTAATAATTTTTAAAATTAGATATATTATGTGTCAAAATAGCTAATAATAGTCTATCACATAATTAGAGCAAAATTTAATACCAGTGAAAAAGTCTATTGAAAAATTATATTTTAGTAGTATGTTTGATGGTTATATGGTTAAAAGCAAAACACTTAATGCTGTTTCTTACTTCCTATTGACTATAGGCAACAGTTTAGGGATGTATTACTAATCTCACTTAGATCTCTGAATTTCTAAATGGAAAATATTTAAAATTTGGTATTCAATAACTTCTTAGCTTGACTCGAGATTTATTCACTAAACCCATGTGCATTTTGCCACTGCACTGTCCTTCCCCAAACAAAACAAAAAGAAAGCAAAAGAAAACTATAAAATCTAAATTAAAATGGAAAAGTTTAAAATCTCATACCTACTAAGAAGGAAGAAAAAGGTCCCAGCTCCAAAATCTTGGTGAACATCTCATATTGTTTAGTTTAGCACTTATTGCGACATAATACTAACCCCCAGTAGGTTCAATATACATTTCTTCTACTTGCCTTTTTAAAATAATCTGACT